AAGTGCGCGGCGTGCGGCGCCACAGCCCAGCTCCTGTCGTCCCCGGGTCTGCGAGCGCCGTCCCCACGCCTGGGGCGGCTCTGAGACTCACTGGAAACGGCTTTCTGCGCCATCTCCTCTGCCAGTGTCTCTGTTTAGGCCCTACCCCAGACACGCGCAAGCACCCGGTCTCCGCCGCAGATACCCGGCAGTTTGGGGCCCCCGGATCTCGGTGGGCTATGCGTGGGCCGGCGCGTGTTTCGAGGACAACCGCGACCCTGCTGGTCCCGCCCAGCTCGCGACCCGAATCCGCACCGAGAGCGTCCGCGTCGCTGTGTGTGTGCGCGGGCTCTTCGCCCCACCCACCCGGCGCTTCTCAGATTCATGGAGAGTTGCGCAGTGGATCCGCGGTAAAGTGCGCGTCCCCGAGCCGCGGAAAACGTATCGTTCTTGAGACTGCGGGAGAAATCAGGGGAGGGCTCCACGCGCTGCCGGGTCCTTTAGAGAAACTGGACTACGGACCTGGTAGCAACTGTCTCAGTCCCCCCTCGTGGGTGCCCCCCGCCCCGGCATAGCGCGACTTCGTCTCCTGGCTGCAGTGAGGGTAGCTGAGTGGGGTTCGTTCGCTGCGTTTCTGAGGTTGGGGTGACCCCAAGGGTCATTCAAGCTGTCTGAATGCTGACGTCAGCCCAGCGGCGCAGGGTAAATCAGTAGTGCGGGGAGGCCAGCCGGAGAACAAACGCGACAGGGATCGCATTGGTGACATCTTCAGGTGCGGCCGCGGGGCGGTTCGCACTTCCAAAGAGGCGCGCTTTAGGAACTGTGGTTTGGGAAAAGGGCGTGTGTGGGACGCGGGAAAGAATCCCGGGTTTCAGCCATCTTTCCCACTTCGGATTCTGACTCAATTTCCAGCAGCGTGGGTCAATTCCCTGCAGTGTGGTTGGGTCCCTGGTTCCTAGAGGTGGCTTTAGGGTATCTTCTCCTCCCCTGCTCTCCAGCGCAAAATAAAGCCAGACTGGAAGGTCCCCACAGCCCTGGAGCAGCGCCTGGCCGGGCTTAGGCACTCTGGAAGGACTTTTTAAGGGCCACTAAACTAGCAGCCCGGCAGAGCGTGTGTAATTTCCTGGCTGGTTCGTTGCTGAAGGATTTCAGGCGACTCAGCAAAACCGTATGAACTCCTCCATCCTGATCCCTAATTTAAGCGTCAACTCTGTACCTTAAAATGTTAATCCCCGTCACAATAACTTGCCAAAGTGCTTAAGTCACACCATTTGATGTGAGCTGGTTCTGAAAGAAAGAGTGATCAGAAGGAAGCAGGTTGATGGGGAGGAAAGTAATCAGGTCGGGGTCCATAGGAGGGCCCCACTATATTCCTTACAACACATGCTTTATGGAGTAGTTTTTAGCAAGGGTTATAATGTGTACTTTTGTTGGTTGATTTATGTAAATAGTACAATCCTTTGTCAATAAATTAATTTGTTGAGTTTATGTTGTTGGGGTACAGACTTTAATGCTTTGAAATCTTAAAACATTTCGCTGGTGGCCAGGATCTCTACTCTGGAAGGCGAGGGGGGGATCTGTTGAGCCCCAATTTCTCCCTATGCCACCCTGCTTTTTTTTCATTTTGTCTATATTTCATATAAATTAAGATGGTTTTTGGAAGCCATGGCAGAGCATCAACAACTTAGAAGACCCAGAAATGGTAGTGTAATTACGTATTTGAAGTGTACCCCTGCCCTGTGCCCTTAGAATGGCTCAGGATTCTTGTGGGCCTGTAGGAGGATACTGTGTCAGGTGACACAGGCTTGGGGACAGTGTATCCCATGTCAGAAAGAAGCTGAAATCATCTTTTTTATCACCGGTGGCATGCTGGACACCAAGTTGAGTAGTTTGAATGAATGACCTAATTTCTGTTAAGACCCCCAAGGGTACCATTCTCTGCACTTTACAGATGAGAGCAGCTACAGTCCAGTTGCTAGCCAGTGCTTTGTGTCACTTAACTCCTGTCTGTTGGTCGTTGTTGAGCTTCTGGGAAACAAAAATGTAACCCCCCTCTTCTTTTAAAAGCTTTGCACAAGACTCTGTAGGAGACACCTCCAGGGTGACTGTGGACAAACTACAGAACATCTCTGTTGCCCCGATCCCCATGCCTGTGACGCAGATCTGGGGAGATCTGTGCCTGTATACTCAGGACCCTGACTCCATTCTGTGCAAGAGCATGCTCGGAAACAATGAGCCAATGAAGGCTGGATTCAGGATCCTTTGTAATTTCTGTGATAGCTCACTGGACACCAAGCTAAGGGTGTGTTAGGTAATCATGATGGTCGCAGCAAAGTCGCACTCCTATTTTTATTGTTCCTTAAGCTTGGAACCAGCTGCATAACATCACAGTAGCTTTTGCTCCCTGGTGCAAATAGAGCCATTAATATGGGTCCCCAAGGGAAGTGGAAGCAGGATGAATGTGGGATGAATGGGGACTCAGCCTTGGGACAGCACATCTCCTGACTGCACCTTCATGGGTGCATTTCAGTTTTCCAGGGCACTTGTGCTGGCTACATCCTGTATCTGTGTTCCAGGTGACCCTTCATCCATAATGCCAGTCAACCACAGGCAGTCCTGCTGGTGAAGTCCCACAGGTATTTTGGATTAAGGTAAAGGGGAACTCAGTAGCAGCATTTTCCCAAAGGATAGATTTGCTATTCCTGTCTTCTCTCTAGAGATCCTGGCCAGCTCAGTGCCCAAAATGCGCACTCCCAGGGTGACAAGGTCCCCAGAGAGACAGGTTTAGCAAGCAGGGCATGTGTGACCGCACAGCACAGGGCAGTGGAGAGGTGTCTGTTTGCTCAATAAAAGAATAGGTAATCCCAGTAATCATGCACCCTTTCTAACCAAGGGCAGTAGTCACATAAGCAGCATTAGCTGGGAATACAGCCTTTGCTTCTGCCAACAGCTGCTTTCATAATTGTTTTATGGGGAATCTCATGTGACATTTGTCCTAGTGATCCAGCGTTGCCTCCCAGCAGTGGAAGGTCTGGGCTACCCAGGTTGCAGAATTTGACTAAAGGTCTCTGTGTGTTGGGTCTCAACTTTGAGCATGCAGACCCATTAACACTGGGAAATTCTGCATCCCACAATGACCTGAACATGGCTTATGAATTATTTTTGATCTGTTACTCACCCATCTATTATTACATGACGAAAGAATGAAAACGAATTCTATTAATGACTCTTTTCTGTAATTAGACCAGCCCCAAGTTTCTACAGTGCAGTACAAATCTGGCCCTCAGGTACATGATGGGTATGTCCAAGTCTGTGGCTCACTCAGCTGTGTTCCCCATGTCTTCTTTTGTATGAAATCTCATCCTGGTCTGTAGGGCTTTCAACAAAACACCAGGAGAAAACATCTACATGCTGTCTGTACCCTGGGCATAGCCAGCATTTGGACAACAGAGTGGCAGATGGCAACCCTATTTTTCAGGTGCACACAGGCTTAAAACCCTCCACCCCCAAGACCTACTAGAGAGGCACAAGCACTGTCAGAGGAAGCCATGTCCCTCCCAGAAGGTCCCCATGACCTTGCCGGTGTCCACTCCTGTCCTCCACCTTAGAACTTCATTCTGTGATCAATCAGTGCCACTCGTGAACCAACAAAGCCCACAGGAACGCTCAGGCCAAGTGCTCTGAGCATGCAGGATGGTTCTCAAGGACCCAGCAGTTTTTAACAACTCTCCTTATGCCATATAGGTCAAAAGGTATTTTGTACAATGTTCCTAAATATAACGCTTAAGAATCCCATGAGTTCTTGGGAGAGAATGGTGGAGAAATTTTCCAAGTGAGACTGTAGCGTGGGCTTGCATAAGGCCCCTTTTCATCATTACAACACATGTTCCCAGTAGCACCATTGTGCAAAAGGCCTCGCTTTGTTTTCTTCTCATTGTAGCTTTTTACCCTCTATGTAAAAAAAAATAAAGCATAATCACAAAGACCACTGTTCTTCTGCCTGCACAAGAGAAGATTTTCTTGTCATTGTAGAGCTTATTCACTCATGACTCAGGGGGTTTCTGGCATCTCCTGAGGTTGGAAGCAGAAGGTTGTTTAGGTAACCAAAAGATATCTGAGTGCAGAGGAGGGTTGGGTGCCCTCACTCACTGCCCACACTCAGCAGGTGCCCAGGCTCCTGGGGCTTACTGTGGTCAGCCCTGGGGCCAGCAAGTTTGCCAGTGATTCTTGCATCAGAATGCACAGAGAGGAGCTGTTTCTCAGGGTGATCCAAAAAGCTTGTGAGCCTCCAGAAGACCATTAATTCCAAGTCCATCCTTCTTCTTTGAAGGTTTAAGAGACTGATGCAGTTTACACACCCAGGTTTTTACTGAATTAACTCTAGAGGAATGGGCCATCTAACCTTTCCCTCCTAAGAGGCCAGTGGAGATATCAGCCAACATTACCTGTGTTTATGAGAAGGAGGGTACACTTGGATGGTTATTTGCCTTTGCTCATAGATCAAGTTCCTGTCCAGCCCTGCTCTCTATTGCTGGAAACTATAGCCCCAGGATCTATTGCCAACTGGTGTCTAATCAAGTTTGGCCAATGGAGGCGGCTGATGAGGGTGGGGAGAAGAGTGTGGAGGAGGGGAGAGGCTGGGGTTTCTTCTGCTCGGGGTTTCACCTTGGGTAGCCCCAGCCGTGGCTTGAGAATCCCCTGGACATTTGAAAAGAAATTTGAGGGCTGTACCAGGAGTAAACCCTGTGGGTAGCTGGGGAAGAGGATTCACAGCAGGTTTGGGGTGGCTGAAGTATGGTGAAAATAAAAGCAGTAGGAAATGAGATTAGAGAAGGCTTAGCATTCCGGATGTAAGGGTTTTGGCTTCTCGAGGAGTGAAA